CACACACACACGCACACGCACACGCACGCGCACGCACGCACGCACACGCACACACACACACACACACACACACACACACACACACACTCTCTCTCTCTATATTATGTTCTGACGTCACGCTTCATCTCTGACTGACCTCGGTCTACCTGACGGTCTACCGTGATATATCGACGTTCTCCATAACTGCGCACTGCGGCTCCGTGCGCCCGTGGGGCAGCAACAAAAAACAAAAACAACAGCAACAACAACAACAAAAAAACATTCAATAATAAAAGTTTCTTTTTTTCGGCTCTATATTAATTAAACACCACCTCCTCAGTTGGAGGGCCCCATAGTTTTACTATGGGGGAGTAAAGAATACACCTGCCGCGATACTGCGTGTCGTAAGATGCGACTAAAAGTGCATAGGTCTGGCCACCCGAAAGGTGACAGTCTGCGGAGGGCCAACTACCCGACCCAGTAAAAAAAAAAAAGGAAAGTTATAGAAATACGAACAAACATGCCTTAGAATTTTTCCGTCTTGGGAGACAGAGGAGCTTCTGCACCAGCAGAAACAATGAAGAACAGCGGACAAGCCGAAAGGACTCTTCTGACCCGAAACCTTCTCTGTCGAACAAGTCTCTCCGGATTGCGTCGTGGAATGTTCGCACCATGTATGAAGCAGGAAAGAGTTCTCAAGTGATACAAGAGATGAAAAGATACAGGCTGCACATACTAGGAGTCAGCGAACCCCACTGGATACAGTCTGGACAGAAGCAGCTCAGCTCGGGGGAACAAATATTGTATTCTGGAAGGGAAGACAAACACCATGCGGAGGGAGTTGGAATTATTTTGAGTAAGTATGCGCAGAAGTCACTTAGAGGATGGGAAGCACAGGGGGAGAGGATCATCATGGCTTCTTTCACTACCAGAAGTAAGAGCATCAACATGAACATAGTACAGATCTACGCCCCAACAAACGATGCTTCGGATGATGACAAGGATGCTTCTTACAGCCGGCTCCAGGGGGTCATCGACAAACTGCCAAGAAAAGATGTCAACATCATAATGGGAGATGCTAATGCCAAGATTGGTCAGGACAACATAGGTTACGAGGGAATCATGGGACAACGTGGCCTGGGACAAATGAACGAGAACGGTGCGCGATTTGCAAATCTCTGTGCTTTCAACAGTCTTGTCATCGGAGGCTCTGTTTTTCCCCATAAGAGGATCCACAAGGCTACTTGGGTACCACCGGATGGAGTGACAGAGAACCAGATCGATCATTTTTGTATCTCTCGTAGGTTCAGGCGTTCACTGGAAGATGTCAAAGTACAGAGAGGGGCAGACGTTGGATCGGATCATCATCTGCTGTTAGCAAAACTCAAGCTTCGTCTCAAAAAGCATGGAACCAGAACAGGAACAAAAAGAATGAAGTTCCAAGTAAGTTTCTTAGATGGACACAAGAAACAGGAGTTTCAACTGCAGTTGAGGAACAGATTTCAACCCTTGACGGATCTTAGTGAGGAAGACATGGTGGTGGATACACACTGGACCAAGGTCAAAGAAGTCTTGACATCAACCTGTCAAGAAGTACTCGTTGTGAAGACAGGATCACCAACGAGGAAGTATTAAGAAGAACCAGACAGAGTCCGGTCAGAGATGAGGTGGGAAGAAGACGTTGGCGATGGATTGGACACACTCTCAGGAAGTCAAGCAGCTGCATAACAAGAAAAGTGTTAGATTGGAACCCACAAGGTAAACAATCAAGGGGAAGACCTCGTGGAACCTGGAGAAGAGTCATGGAAATGGATGTACAGAAAAGTGGGAAGACGTGGAGTGACATCAAGCGACTAGCCCAGGATAGGGAAAGGTGGAGAGTGTTTGTTCGTGGCCTATATCCTGACCCAGGGTGAAAAAGGCAATGATGATGACCTCCTCATTGCTTACATACCATACAGTCAGTCGAAAGACAACAAGTACCTCCGACACCTATTACTATTGCTTATTTTTTTTGAAACAGCGACACCAATATAATATGGCACCTGTCGACACTTTTCAGTTTTAACTTGAGATTTAATCCACCCATGATGCCCACCCGTGCTGTTGGAACATGTTTCATAGGCGTCCGTTAAAGTGTTGTGTTGATGAAAATAGGTGAAATGTTTGATGATTTAGGTATATTCTGAAAATTCCCTAGATCTAGATCTAGAGATCTATATTTTTTTCCAAACCGCTTATAACTAAGCCACTTAAATTTAGACTTTATATTATGCTAACATCAAAGAAAAGGTGTTTGCAGTAACCTCCATTAATGGCCACGGGTTTTTTACTTTTAGATTCAGTCGTTCATCCAACTTTCACACTTGTATGCAAAGAGTTAAGAAGATTGAACAACAATTTGTTTTTAATCTTGTTTTAACCGCGGTCAGACGAAAGTGAATAGTGAATAGTTAGATAGCAAACATAAACAAATTTTGTTTCGGTTTTTAGAGACAAGGCTTCTATTTTTTTTCCTATTTTTTCCACCAAGGGATGTTACTCTTGTTTACTATATAGCCCAGGTCTACCACATGAACCGAACAAAAACAGTGCTGTTACTGTTTATTATATGTAGAGTCTGCTACCTACTTGCACCTGCTTCGTCTGCTGTCTTTCAGTGTCACACCAGTATAACAAGACTAGATTTCTAAGTCTCTAAATTAGACGAAACTTATCTACTGATAGGGCATCTGAGACAAGAAACATGGCTACTTGTAAGTAGACTGACAGATTTCCTCCTCAAACTGTGACAAACATTGCAACAGTCCCCTCTTCGTCTTCTCTCTTCAGCTTCTTGATTCTGGATGTCTAGATAGATCTAGAAATCTAGATATCTGTACGAGCGGCAGTGTACCAAGCTCTGGTGGTACTAAATCTAGAGATTTAGTTTTCTAGATCTACTTGAGCGGCACTGACACAAAACAGTGGTGTCGGTACTGCTCAAGCGTCTCGAGCAAAGGGTACTGCTCGCGAGTAACGAGCGTGCTTGACTCAGCACACACCCCTGTGTACTCTGTTTACTGTAGACTGTAGTGTAGTTGTAGAACCTAGAACTAGATCTAGTACAGTACAGTACACAGTCCAGTGTCCAGTACGCTAGTCAGTGATCAAGTGAGAACGCTGTTCCAAGCAGTGTCTCCATCTCCTCTGCCGGGAGGACTTCCGTAATGAGCGACCACTATGAGACAGTAGAACAGAGGGGCAGGGGATAAGGTTTGGGGTAGGGTAGAGGTTTATGATAGGGTTAGGTCTCTTCTTTATTGTGTTTGTTGGGGTGTGCTGTGACAAGCGCGCTCGTTACTCCGGAGTCGGAGTCCCTAAGGCGGTCCACTGCTGTACACAGCCTTGTTCCGGCAACTCCTGCGACACCCCTGATGCCAGCCTGTGTCAACGTTTGTCGTTCCGCTGGATCCATCGGTGGCGTGAAGAGGGGGGATCTGCTGCCTGGGCAACAGTTGGTCCTCCATACTCTTCTGCCCAGGCCTGCTCTCTGGAGAGGACACTCCAGCGTCGCCTAATCGCGACGGCAAAACACCGAGATATGAAATCGCTCTATATGGACACTGGGAGATGGGAGACACTGGCGTGCGATCACGACAAATGGAGACAGGCGCTGCCAGCTGGTCTCATCAGAGGTGAAGCCCGACTGTGACAGGCTGCTGAGGACAAATGCCGTCACTGAAAGAACAGCCCGAGGCTACCAACGCAGGAAGACACCGCTCACAAGTGCAGCCACTGCAACAGGGACTGCCATTCCCATGTGGGCCTATTCAGCCACAGCAAGCGCTGCTCTCGAACCTGAAATCTCCTATGACGCACATCCAAACTCTCCTGAGACTGAAGGAGGCAAAAATGTCTTGGGGTGGTTGCTCATTTTAATTAAATGTGTGAACTTTGGGAGTGAACCTTTGATTATCTCCTCATCTCCCCCCCTCTCCTTTCATCTATGATTGCCTTTTAAAACTATTTTTGGGGGTCAATTTTTATATATATATTATAATTTATACGGTCTTTTTTCTATCAGGTGGTTCAGATGATGATGTGCCTCCTCTACTTTCTGATGACTCTGAATGTGAAGTTGATGACGATGATGATGGATGGGATGATGTGGAGGACGAGGAGATGAACGTTTTAGTCGGGGATGTAGTGTGTCTTTTCTGCTCTCGTGTGATGGGCTCCGTGGATCTGCTATTGAAGCACTTGCGAGAGGATCACTGTTTTGATCTCGTTGCAATATGCTGGAAATATTCCGTTGACAGCATTGACTACATCAGATTGATCAACTACATCCGAAAACAGGTGTTTGTTTACAGAGTATTTTTGGTGTGGATATGTGGATTGTAATGTGTGTTTGTATGTGACACATTTACTGCATTTTACTGAAACTTACAACTTAGAGGTATATATACGGTCAGCACACTCATAGCAAAATCGACGGGACACAGAAAACTTTTTGTTATGTATAAAGTTCACTCTGTGTGTTTTGAATACAAAGAATATATCAAAGTAAGAATGTATGATCGTTGTGACCTTTTCCTCATAAGGGTTCTGACCTTTGTTTATAGGTCTTACTTCAGCGTTCACGGAAAGGTTCAAAATGTTCTGTAACATTACACGAGACAAGAAAAGCTTGGGTCACAGCTTCTGAAGCATACAGGGGTTCACAATTTGTTGTTCCCGTCCTCTCAAACTGTAAAGTGCTGCTTTACTCAGCAAGGAATTTTCTTGCAATTAATTTTGTTGTATCCAGCTACAGTTGTGCGCACTTGTGTAATGATGACAGATGGGTGGAAGTAGATTCACATTTTATTGGCAGCCCAGCCAGTTGTGTCTTATTTTAATTTTACCTGGGATGTCACAGAGTTTAATGAGTAGAAATTTTGGAGCCAATCAGATGAA